CTTGAACTTTTATTGTACTTTAGAACATGTAGACTTCTATTCCTACTAGAACTCCAAGTCCATAGGTAGCAAGGAGTTGGGATCTTCAAGTCTATATATGTACAGTCTTTCAAGCCAATTATGATCATCAATCTACAGAGTACTAATCAAGAAGAGAGAGTTCTCTTGTGAAGTATATTTGATATTTTTCTCTTTTTTTCCTTTATTTGAGAGAAATCATATTTGGTTTTTGGGATGTTGTTAGGGATTGAGTGATTGAGAGATATCCATATTGTATTCCTCACAATTTAGTAAAGCTATCCTCCTCCTCCTTTGCCCGTGGATGTAGGCTATAAGCTGAACCCTATATATCTGTGTGTTCTTATGTTTTTGATATATTTTGTGCTTTCGTGTGATTGATATTAGTTTATCCTAGGGATTTTTTCATAACAGTTAATTTTATATCATGGGTGACCGAGCTGAGTTAATTCTAATAGATCACTTATGTTGTTCCATCCCTATGAGGTATATCTATGTATTTTGAGCTTGGGACAATAAGGGGCATAGCATATTAGCACATGATTATCGAATAGGAGCAGAGTGACATCTTGGTTCAGATTTTTGACTAGTTCCTCTTACCTTCCACACTTCTCCCTCTTTTCTTCCTTCTTCTCTATGCATAATATATATTTTTTTCTCCATTCAATAAATTCATAGGGCATAATTCTCCGATCGCTAAAAATCAAACAAAAAGAGAAAACACAAGTTATAAAAGTTCAAATATTTTTTTTGGTCAATGAAAAAAGATTTTATTCATCACCAAATTTAGAAATGAGAGTGCAACAAGAACTAACAGAAAAAAGCTCTGGCAATCAAAATCTAAAACTCACAAACTAATTACAATTTTCCTATTTTTTCTCTCAAGTGCTCACAAATATCTTCATTTAGAACTTTTAAGAGTAATGAAATATTCACTTCTCTGATAAGTTGATCAGGATTGCGGGTCTTTTGCTAAAAAATCCTAATATTTTTTTCCTTCCATATTCAGTAGACAGCCCCAGAAAATGCCATTCTTTTTAGCTTCTTCATAAACCCAAAACCCCTCAAGTTGTTGCTGTACCATCCCATTACATGATCCCAACTACAAGATCTCCATGAAAACTCTAACCATGCCATCAGTTTGTTCCAGACATAAGAAGAGTATCGACACTCAAAAAACAGGTGATTTATGGACTCTAGATGATTAACAGTATCAGCACATAGGATACACTGATTGATATCCAGCATACCCATGCTACACAACCTATCCTTAGTCAGAAGCCTCGATAGAACTGCAAGCCATAGGATTATTGAATGCTTGGGGTAATGCAAGCCTTCCCACACTGTATTCGCCTAAGGTGTAGTAACTGCAGATTGAGAAATAGCATTGTAGACAGATAAAATTTTCATTCTACCATTATTGTGACAGTTAGCGATGATTCTATGAAGATTATTCACATTCCCAAATCTGCTCATTGCCATATCTCTCACCTTTAGAATTTGTCTCCACATCCAAGAATCACTTCTCTTCGGTTGTACTTGCCAGATATCTTGATGTTTTAAGTAGTTTCCATGCACCCATTTTATCCACAAGAGGTCCTTTTTTTGAGTGTATCATCCATAACATTTTGATAGCTGCAGCATAATTCCACATTTTGGCAGAGAATAGACCCAATCCACCTAACTTTTTAACCTTACAAACCTCTGCTCAGGAGACAAGGTGGATTTTGCTCCTCCACAAGAAAGCAGAACATAGCATATCAATTTTCTCCAGCACCTTGATCGGCAGAATATAATTACTTGTCCAATATATTTGAACCCCAAGATAATAGTCTTGATTAGTTGGATTCTCCCAACATAAGACAAGTTCTTCTTGCATTGCCAGTTTTGAAGTTGGTCTGATATTTTTGAGATCAAAGATAAGCAGTCCAGAAAAGAAAGCCTTTTAGAAACTAAAGGCATTCCTAAATATCTCATAGGCAAAGAACCCTCTGGGAAGTTTAAGTATGTGCATATCTGTGCCTTTGAATTTTCTTCAATTCCACTCAAGAGAACAGAGCTTTTGTAAGAGTTAGCCTCCAACCCAGATACTCTACTGAATTCCTGAAGACAGTTATTTATTTTAGCTATTGAATCCATGTCAGCTCTACAAAAGAGTAGCAAATCATCAGCGAAAATCAAGTGTGTAATCCCCATCCTAGCACATTTTGGATGATACTTGAACAGACTATCAGTGCTGAGGGTTTTGAGTTTCCTGGATAGATATTCCATTCCAAGCACAAACAAATAAGGAGACAATGGATCTCCTTGCCTTAATCCTCTAGCTCCCTTAAAGTATCCATGTAATGAACCATTAATTGACAAAGAGAACTTAGGTGTAGAGATACATTCCATCACCCATGTAACCAAATTATCAGGGAACCCCAAACCTGTCAACATATACTTGTGTAGAGATACATTCCATCACCCATGTAACCAAATTATCAGGGAACCCCAAACCTGTCAACATATACTTGATAAAACTCCAATTAATGGTGTCAAATGCCAAATTATCAGGGAACCCCAAACCTGTCAACATATACTTGATAAAACTCCAATTAATGGTGTCAAATGCCTTTCTCAAATCAATGTTGAGGACAGCTCTGTTGGCCCTTTTGGTTTTGATGATGATTTGTCAAACAATTTATAACTAATCTATTTTCTAGTTTTTGTTGTTTGGTTTTTCTTTTTGCAGGTAATTCAACACACGACAGTCAAGAGTTAAAGATTCAAGTTCATGTGTGCGCATTCACCTAGGTATAAGTTCATGTGTGCCCAAAACCTGTTAATTGACATGTATCAGTTTACGATCGACCGCCACGATCGACCGCCAGTAGTTAATTTTCTTCTATGCCTTTTATTGAATCGCGATCGACCATCCCGGTCGCCCGCCAGTAGTTAATTTTCTTCTATGCCTTTTATTGAATCGCGATCGACCATGATGGTCGACCGTGGCTCATCCAGAGACTTTCGCGGTCAACCGTCGCGGTCGACTGCCATCTTTTAAAATTCATTCTTCTGTATTTTGTGCTTCGCGGTCGACCGCCAGCTTCTCACGGTCGACCGCCAGCTTCTCACGGTCGACCGCCTTGGCGGTCGATCGCCGAACTCATAATTGCTTTCCAATGGCTATTTTCTGATTTGATTCTCTGGGACTATTTTGGTCTTTTCAAGTTTGTTTTGGCTGATATTTTGAGTGGGTATAAATACCCCATTGCCTTCCTCTTTCAACTACTAAGGTTTTGTTTTACAATAAGTTTTTAACAAAAAGATTAAGAGTTGTTTAAAGAGCTGTTTAAGCTAATTTCATCAGTCTGTTTCAAAAGATGTTTCCTACAACAAGAAGAGGCTTTCAATTCCATCATCTACTGTTCTTCTTATCTATTGAGAAGTTTTCCTACCTCATTTTACATATAGCTTATTATTTCATTTTCATATCTTAGCTATATTTATTGAGTTGCATATTTTCTATTCACTGATATCACACACACTGTATTGAGCTTATAATATTTCCATACTATATATTGTTGGGTAGCGGTGTGTGATTTAGTGAGAGTGAGCTTCATTGCGTTCTCATTTGTTATCGAGAACAAACTATTGTATTTAACATTTATTGTGAGTATCACTTGTAATACAGTTGTACACCGAGAGAAGTGTGAGGCGTGAGACAGGGTCGAATCCAATAGGAGTGGTGTCGGTTGACGAACCTAGGGAGATGTTGCATCCGAGCACTTGAGGAAGAGGACACGGGCTAGGTTCCTACACTTAGTGTGTAAAGTGTGATTGCAGAGTGTTTGTTGTGTGAGAGTTTTCGGTAAACTTGTAAACCGAGTGTGTAGAAATTCTGGCTTCCAAACCGGATTGTGATAGTGGAGATCTCCTCGAGGTGAGGAGCGGGGACGTAGGTCGTGATGACCGAACCTCGTAAACATATCGTGTGTTTGTGTTTTGCTTAGCATATATTTAATTTGTGCTTTTTCATATCATTCTTGTTCATATCTATCTCATATAATTCTTGCAAGAACAAATTAATCAATATAATTTTAATTGATATTTAATCGGGATTAAATTAGCATAAGACCATAATCACCCACATTCTAGGGTCTAACAAGCTCTTGGAGAGACATTCTTTCTGCCATGCATAATGCTTTAATAGCTCATGTGCTAGGAGAATATTGTTAGAAATAAGTCCACCCTTATGCACTTTGTGCATCATCAATCAGAAAACCAATCACATTCTGAATTCTGGTGGCAATGATTTTAGATATTACTTTGTATATACAGTTGCAACAATTAGAGATAAGTCTATAGTCAGATGGAGATCTAGGATTGAGGATTTTAGGCACTAAAGTGATAGAGGTTGAGTTGAAAGTGCCAAGGAGCTTACCAGTATAAAAGAATTCACCCACTGCTTTACACATATCATCTTCAATAATATTCCAGGCAGGTTTGAAGAATGATGCACTGAATCCATCAGAACAGGGCTAAAAGTTCAAATATTAATCAAATATATTGATAGACAAAAGCTTTAACTGTAAATGTTAGGTTTTGTTCATGTAAAATGCAAATACTATAACTTGATAATTTGATTCTACTCAGTGAATCTTCCAAAATTGAATTTGGATGAACAATAAGACGAACAGCAGCATAATTGTTTGACAATAATTCGTTCAATTTATACACCCTAATAACAACATAGGATGCAACAGTACAGGTAATCTATGATGAATCATAAGCATTGAACGTTAGTACAAGTGTCCAAGGAGAAATAGGTCCATATACGTACGTACATACCCAAAAGTTCAATCAATGCTCCCGTCGCTCCCTTATTTAGAGACAGTATATTTGATGTATGGCACTGAGACTGATTTTATAGGCAAGAGTAACTCTTTTTCTAAAGAATGCACAAAGATATAAAATTGCTAAGTAATGTTCACTTATTTAACAAATGTTTTAGGCTGAACTTCAAAGTACAATACATAAGACAGTGATAATATGATATCCATTTACACACAGAAGACATGGTCAGGTCTAGGCTCACTTCTATCTTAATTGGCCTTCACAGGCACTGTATTTTTCTGACATATATGCAAACTGATCAATACAATGATTCCTAGAATACTCAAGCAGTAATGCAGTGGACATGATCTACTAGCTAGATAGAAATGGTAAGATCCAGATTAACTTTTCTACTGTCAACTTTGTCTTCACACCCACTTGATTCCTCGAACGTGTCAAACTCGATACTGGAACCCCAATCACTGGTCTCTTGGTAGTTAGAAGAACATAGCGTAAGATCACAAACAGCTCTTTCTTGTATTTCTCTTTTTCCTTCCTCTGAATGGAACCTGTAAAAGAACTCTGTGGCATGAAACATCTACTGGCGATACCTGATAATTATGAATGAACTGTGAGCAGCTTCAAGGAATAAAAAGGGTTGGACCTGATCATGCTGAGTTGTGGATTTTTGCAGTAACTTTGAGACGTGCAAGCTCCGCTATTGCCAAAAGTGCTTGGTTGCAAGTTCTTGTGCTTCTTTAGGTCTTTAGCTGATAGAAATAAATGAAAGTTTGCGGGGTTATTGCTCATGCTTCTGTACATCTGCAAGACAAAGAAATGCAGCTAATTCAGGGTCTTCATTCCATTTCTTTTATTGTGAATATTGTTATACTATGATTGTTTTTTGTTACAATTCGATGGAAAATTTTAGTAGGGTTAAAATAGCTGAAGTGGAAAGACGCAGTTTTAGAGGGATTTCTTTTCAGTTTAGGGATAAAATTTCAGTACTCGTGGATTTTGCGTTAAAAATAGCTGAAGTAGAAAGAAGGAGTTTTAGAAAGAATTTAAGTATTATCACGTGATATTTACGTAATACCTTGATCTATAGAGAATTTTGAACGGTGACATAGCGGAAGATCATAAAGTTAAAAGTGCGATGAAACTTTGGGGTATTATTCAAACAAATTTGATCTTCGGAGTATGAAAAACTGGTAAAATTACTTAGGATATTAAACTGCATATAACTTCTAAAAGTGAAAATTTTTGTTGAGAATTTAATTACGAAAATGACTCATTAGATCTGGATTTATTCAAATCAAGAGGTCAGAGAAGATGTCGGTATTTGGGTCAACATAGTTGGATGGTTATTGAAAGAAACTGGATACGTCCTTCATCCTTCATATACGAGACCTAATAGTACATGGTACAGGAGGATTAACAGAAGCCTGTATATAAATTTACAGTGTTTGTGTAGGGGGGGGGGGGGGGAGGGGTGGCTACGGTGAGTGGGGGGGGAGCGGGCGCACGTACGCGAGCGGGGGGTGCTAACGGTGGTGGGGGTGGAATTCAACGTGGCGGTCTCTGGCCCCGCGCCCGCCTGTCCATCCTAAGAGTCGCTATCACACAGATGATGACTGCTACAAACATGAGGATGAGCGTTTATCATGGCTCATAATGCACGGATCTGAGTCATTATGTAAATCAATATTTATTAATTTGAAAATTCTCTCACTGTAGATGAGGAGATCCGTATTGGCGACTCATACATGTAAAAAAACAACCGGTACAGTTTTATCTGATGAATTACCGGTCTATGCATGTTTACCTAAGTATTACCATTAGGATAACAATGCTAGTTAAAATTCAGAAAGATAATTTAAAGCAATTTCTTGAGAGCTAACTCAAATTAAGTAAGACCGAATTAACCAAAATTTTACGAAATTAACACAGGAAAAAAAAAGTGAAACTAGAGAATAATCCAAAACACAAATGCATATTGTCCACAAAATAAAATGTCCACTGAGAAGCACAAGAATATGTATCCTAATAATCATTATACGTCCAAGAGAACAGATATGCTACATTGTGATCTGTCCAGGAGAACTAGATATTCATACCTGCAGATGGCTTTTGATGTGAGATATGCTTAATTCCTTAACATTCATCAGCTCTAGAATACGCTTCGGTGTAGCTTCTGCGGATGTAACCCAAATAAAAGACAGATCAAATATAGCAAAATATAAAAGATGAATCACCATCTGATCGCGGCTGATCAGAACTCTCCATTGAAAGTAGTTCTTTGCTTTCTCAAATAATCTAATCCCTTTTCATTTCCAAGAAAACAAAGCGATTTCTTGTTACAAAAACTTTTATTAACGTACGAGTAAATGCCCTTTCTATTTGCAAAAAACTAAGCAATTTCTCGCGCGTCACAAAAATTTTCTTAAAATTACTAGTAAATGCCCTAATTAATTTTATCATTGAAAAAAAGACATGTTATCAAGTAAAATAAAAGAAAAATTTATCCAAGTTAATTAATTATCCACCCTTTATAATTACTGATTTGTGCATATTTCTTCTGTTGAGAAACTGCTATAATTGGAGGCATACGTACATATTTATAGATAACATAGACTATGCATGATTTATCCCTAGACGCGCGCATCCTTGCATGCATGACTTTCACTAAAACTACATTTAATTTCTCCAAAGTTAAGTAATTTGGTTATTCATGAACGCATGCTTTGCCAATATATTCCTAGTTAAATTGAAGTATAGAAATAGAGAGAGAGAGAGCCCAAAACCCTAGCTATATAATTACTTCTTCCTCCTCCAAGGCATCGGACGGCCTCCACGAACCGGTGGTGCAGCTCCTCGGTCCACCGTAGCCTTGGCTCCTCTGATCTATTGTACTTTCTCACCCCTCTTCTTTCACTCATTGTTTTCTTCTTGTTTTCTAGTTCTTGTGACTTCTCTCCTCCAACAAATAATAGGAAAACTTTGGTATTAACCCAGTGTAGCTTCCCTTATCTTGTGCCTAATACTATTATTATATATGAAAGTGAGAAAGAAAGGAATTTAGTCCACTTTTGACTAAGTACAATCAAATAATTACATGCTCACAGTTATCTAAAAGGTTGAAAAAAAAACCCATGTTGGAAAGAAAAAGTTGATCTCTCTTTCTTTATACTCAAATATATACGCACCACTTTTAGAGGATGAGACAAAGAATGTTTGGTGATTCTTGAGCTTTTAAAGTGGACCACAAGAAACTTATTCGTAAAAAATAATTGTTTTATTACCTTTTTAGTTTATTTCAGAGTAGTAGTGAGAATACTGCCTATTATGGGTGCATACAGTTCGGATATGGTCGGATACAATACTTACCATATTCATATGTGATTCTAATAACGAATAAAGATATAGATATGAATATGCTCAGTAAGAAAATTCATATCCATATATACTTAAATCGAACATGGACAAGGATATATATGTGGATGCATAAGTAGATATACTTGCGGATACAAAACCTATATGAGAAAAGTAGATAATATTGAATAAAGAGAGTTCATTAATACGTTTGTTATATCTGAAAAGACAGTTTAGATATCTTGATCATCAGAATTAACCTCGCACCTATTAACCTAAGGATTAAAATTGTTACAACTGTAAGACCAACATATAATTCAGATATATACTCTGGATACGGATCCAAACATTTTACTACAAATCTGTATCGTTAACCATATCCTATCAAACATATATCTTAATAACCATATCCGCATCCTAGCGAATACGGATACAGATATTTTCTCAGATACAAATATTTTTATGCACCCTACTGCCTATAAGAATTTTGATTTTATCCACTTGTTATGTCACATTGGTAAAATTATAATGATTAGTATATAATATAACTAACAACAGCAAAGCCTTTAACTCAAATTTCGGGATAGACTCCGGAACGATTATATGTACTTCATGCTAAATAACTGATTAATATTTGTTCTTATTTATATTCATGAAAAGTTACAATGGTTTATTAAATGGTTATTTGGTTTGTGGATTTATCTCGATGCATGTAATGGATTGTGAAAAAACCATAATTAAACTTGTGTTTGTTTGTGATGAATATTAAAGAGGATTGCATGAAGGATAAAATCCAGTCAAATTTTGCCTAGTCGCACAAGAATTTTATTGAGAATATATGATTTATTCACAAGTCCAGTTAAAATTTGCATAATTTTAGGACATTATATTTGATGCATTTATCCTATGTAGCAATCCAAAATCCATGTATAAAAAATTACAAACAAATAATATATTTGCTAAAATCCATGACTTTTAACTCGTGGTCTTCTTTAATCCAATGATGCAAAATGCGTGGAAACAAAAAGCCCAAAAATAATAAACAGTTTTGATTGAAAATAAATTTTTTTGAGTATTTGTCTGTATATGAAAGGAAATGAATCCACATTCTTGTATAGACAATGGTACTTAAATTTAAGAAATTTGTTTCTATCTATAGAAAGTTATAGCTGATGTTGAATTCAGTATTCTGTCCTAATTAGTGGTGTCTCTCCATAATTAACTTGTTAGACTATGTATATACATAAACAATATTTTAGTTTATCCTCATCAGCAATGCCTTACCCTAATTCCGGTGGTGTCCAGCAGTAAATTATACAAGTAAAATTAAATAAAAACTGTCTATACAAAAACGGTTTACTTATTGATATTAATAGACTATTTTTCCCACTAACAAAAAAATTTAAAAGAAGTCTATACTACTCTATAAAAATCATAGCAGCAGTAGATAAAAAATGGTGAGAAATTTTCTATTGCATAGTCTATACAAATAAGCCTTGCATGAAGGATAAAATAACTGATTAATATTAGAGATTGTAAATTGAGAAGGCGATGGATCCAAAAAAAATGAAAATACTTCTATATTTCAAATCGTGAGATAGTGCATCTTAAATATTTAGTTGCCGTAGTTATAAACACATCTCTTAATCTATATTTTTTAATGTTGCAGTAGTTGCAAAAATGTCTCTTAATCTAAATTATTTTTTTCATTTCCTTGAAACTACATTATTATACTTTTTATTTCTTATATCACGAGCACTATGCACGTGTAATTTACCTAGTAAGGAATAATTAGTAATTCGTAAGGTGTGATAAGTAGGTATTAGCCAATTATGCCTATATTCTTGTGCTTCTAACAAATAAGTACAAACAGTGTAAATTGAACTTGCATTCTTCTTAGTTACATTAAAGACTTTAACAAACACAGTTCTTGAAGAAATACAGGAAACAGCAGAAGAATCAGCTATGTAGACTGGCGCGTGAACGTGCACGAAGGCCAGTGGGATTCGGAGCTGATGGCGGTCGACCGTCGCGGTCGAGGTGGATGACTATAATCGATTTAAGTCTCGGGTTTGTGGTTCGGTCGACCACCGCGGTCGACCGCAAAACCTGCGCGGTCGACCGTCACGGTCGACCGCAAACTGTATCGGGCTGGGCTTTTGGTTTTTGACCCGGTTCTTTTCTGAGTTGATATATAATCCTAAACCTGATTAATTAGGGTAAAGAAAGGACGATTTTGAGTAGTCTTTGAGAGATGATTATTGCATCCAATTGTGGGAGAGTTGTAAGAGATCTAGAGCTTTGTTTTAGGGTTTGATCGGTGAGATTTGTAACTCTACTTGTATTCTCTGATTTCTAATAGTAAGAACTCCCCCCTCTTTGCCCCGTGGACGTAGGCAACTTGCCGAACCACGTAAATCGTTTGTTCTTGCTGTGGTTGTGTTTTGCTTATTGGTTGTGGTTTATCTCGATTATTGTTCGTGTTGCACAAGAAGCTTCCGCCGCGCACAACAATTGGTATCAGAGCTAGCTAGATTGACAACATGAGAGAAGCAAACATATCAGGTTCGTCTCTTACAAAGGCGATACAGAGTATGAGTATCAATAACACGAAGATTGATGTTCTAAAGTTCGACGGCAATATCAATTTTGGATTGTGGAGGTGTCAGGTGATGGATGCTTTGGATGCACAGAATTTGGAGGAGACTCTTGAGTTAAAAGAAAAACCCGCAGATATGGAGGATAAGGTTTGGAGGAAGATGAACAGTAGAGCTTGTGGTGTTATTAGGTTATGCTATACACCGGATCTTATTTATGATGTTATGAACGAGACGTCGGCGAAGAAGATGTGGGAAACACTCAATGAGAAATATCTTACGAAGAGCATTGAGAATCGGCTTCACTTGAAGAAGAGATTTTACCAGTTCAAGATGAAGAGGGGAGTTTCCATCAGGGAGCATGTCAACAACTTCACTAAGCTACTTTCAGATATGGCTAATATGGACATTATAGTTAAGGATGAAGATAGGCGATGCTACTTCTGTGTTCGTTGCCCGAAGATGATTATGGTACGTTCGTTCTCACTATGATCAATAGAAGAACTACAGTCAGCTACAAGGAGGTGACCTCAGCTTTGGTGAACTATGAGTTGAGGAAGAGTGATGATGAACCCTCCGAGAAGGCATCGGGAGATGCATTAGTAGTTCGAGGTCGAAATCCAAACCGTTGCCAGTTTAACCGCTCAAAGTCAAGGAATAGGTGTGCCTATAAGAGTGTTGGTAAAAATCAATGTCGGTATTATAAAGAAGAAGAACATTGGAAGATTGACTGCCCAAAGTAGAAAGAAAAAGCTGGGAAGAATAAGAGGAAAGCTGCACAAGCTTCAGAAGTGAATGTTACAAAAGCTATTGGTGAGCATTCAGATTCAGATTCTTCAGGCTATTCATGTCCTGCATTACCGTCGGTTTGCTATGCGGATTTCACGGAGTGGATGATGGATTCGGGAGCTACATATCACATCTGTCCTAAGAGGGAGTGGTTCTCTAGCTTTGAGGAGCTGGAAAGAAAGGATGTCGTGCTTATGGGTAATGACCACGTATGTCCTATTGGTGGTATTGGTTCAGTCCGGATTAGGATGCATGATGGTGTAGTGAGGGAGTTTAAGGAAGTGAGGTTCGTACCGTAGTTAACAAATAACATCATTTCTCTTGGGACTTTAGAGGCAGCTGGATAACGAGTGATCTTAGAAGATGCTACAGTGAAGGTCAAGAGGGTTCTATGGTGGTGATGCGAGGTGTCAGGGAAAACAAATTATACTACTTGAAGGGCAAGACAGTTACAGGGGGTCTGACAGCTTCTATCACTACAGAGGAGGACACTACCACCTTATGACACATGAGACTTGGACACACATGTGATAAGTCCCTACAGTCATTGGCAAAACAAGGGCTATTGAAAGGTGCTAAGACCTGCAAGATGGAGCTGTGTGAGCACTGTGTACTTGGGAAGAAGACTAGAGTGAAGTTTAGCACCACTGTTCACAACACCCGAGGTACATTGGATTACATTCATACAGATGTTTGGGGTCCTTCCAAGAACACATCTCTTGGTGGGGCCAACTATTTTATCGCTTTCATTAATGACTATTCTAGGAGGAATTGGGTATACCCTATGAAGTAAAAACATCAGGTCCTGGATATTATTGTGGAGTAGAAGAAGAAAGTGGAGCTACAGACAGGTAGAAAGGTGAAGACTCTACATTTAGATAATGGTGGAGAGTACAAGAGTGATCCGTTTCTATAGTTTTGCCGGGATCACGGCATTAGAAGACACTTCACAGTTCGAGAGACACCGCAACAGAACGGGGTGGCTGAGAGATTAAACCGTACCTTGCTGAAGAAGGTGCGGTGTATGATGACACAGAGTGGATTGCCTAGATCCTTTTGGGCGGAGGCGTTAGTTTATACGAGCCATCTCGTGAACAGGTTGCCGTGCATTGCGATAGACGGGAAGACTCCTTTGGAGCGTTGGTTTGGTTCGGTGGCTAGTGACTATGAGTCGCTTTGGATATTCGGGTGTCCAGCTTATTATCATGTCAGTGATAGTAAATTAAATCCGAGAGCGAG